TTATTGACTTTTAGGCTCATCTATTATTTGGAGACAAAGAGTATCTATTCATATTCCAGGAAGCATACAGAGCAGTAATGACCTATCTATATAGTGACCCCTGGTACAAATTGAGCAGTTGAGCTTATGAGGTTTAAGCTCAATTATACTTTGTGAATTGCTAGTTGTAGAAGGGCGGGCTCTGTAAAGAATGATTTGTTCCTGCACATTATAGTGACCACCATTCTAGAAAACTTCCTAATTCTTTTTTTTAACATAGCTTGTTTAGCAATTGAAGCTATAATACATAATTTTCTCTTCACCCTTCTAGGTATGTTGAAGTAAATATGAATTCTGCTGCTCTTGTATGGCCATTATTTAACAGCCTGCAGGCGTTCTGGCCAGGCCTTCAGGTAATTGTACTATGATTGCTTTCTCTTGCCCAAACAATATATTGTCTATTAGAAGTCCTAGATATTGATAGTGATTGGTATTTTATAGGTTTTAGCTGGGGACATTGAGCCTGCCATTCGAACACATGCTGCCTTCTTTAGTGTCTGGAAAAAATATGGTTTTACACCTGAGGGTTTCAACCTTGCCACGCTCAATGTTCAAGTATCTTCTTTAGTCTTACAATCTCTAGTTACTTTGTTTACAAGTTTTCTTTTTATCAAAGCACTTGGGCATGTTGGGTTATTTGGTGAAGGCTTTAGAGCTTTGGGCTTTAAGCCCGGTCGGTTAAAGAGAAGAAATATGGGGGGCCGGTTTTAGTTATTAATTAAAGGGCCCATTAGTTGTTTCTTGTTTAGCAAGTTGTTAACCCTAATTTATATCTTATAAATACCCAATCATGTAACTATAATCTGTGAGCACCTAGTAAAAGATAAACCCTAGTTGCAACCCGTGGAGTAGGTTACTGACGAACCACGTTAAATCTCGTGTTCTTATTTTCTGCTATTTGTGTGTGTGTGTGTGTGTTTGTTCGCTTCCGCTTGATCGCCTCTGATCTCTGATTCCTAACAAGTGGTATCGGAGCCTTGGTTCGGTTAAACACACGGTTACACAGGATCAATCGCAGGAAGAAGGCTGTTCAGGATCGTTGTTGCTGCTGTTTTGCTGCCGCGGTTAAGGGGCTGGTTCAGATCTGATCAGGGGCTGGT